GTTGTGGTCACGAAATACTTCAACCAGAGATCATAATACAGAACAAAGGAGAAACAAACATCCACGAAATATTTTATGCCCGAAATAATTTGACGTGAATTCTTGGTATCAGTAAATTAGGAATGTTACTGCTTGGGAATATGCACCGAGCACGCGAAAATTCCTTTCGGTTTAAACGCTGGAAAAAAAAAAATGAAAATTAGTCCTGATATCATCCCACGCGTATACTTAACTATGACAATAACAGGAACACGGGGACTTCAACAAGGCACCGAAAAATGTGAAGAATGTCCCACCCCCCTCCTCCCAATCTTACCCTTCATCTTTCTTTATTTAAATTACTGATTAAACCAGTGTTAATTATCTGTTTTCATACAACAGCATGTTACCACGATTCTGTTAAAATATATTAGAAAATAAATAGTAGCATCAAAACGTTAGCCCTTTATTAAACCCAAAAATATTATCGTGTGTTTTAGAAAACAATAAGAGAACAAAAACCAAATGCTGGCTTTCCCGGAATTATTAAATAAATATTATCTTTTATGGGATGGAACGTAAAGCACGCGCACACGTTACCAGCCCTTCAGACGTACCGCTGAGCCACTGGAAAGCGTTACACGTACTCACACTACTGAAATGAATTCGTCCCCAAAATTTTAAAATAAAGGTTATATATATATAAATATTACTTCGTACTACGAGTTTGCGTTTATTTTACTTTGATGGTTTCAGCGATTTGTTTTTGTTTTTAATTATGCACAAAGTTACACAAGGGCTATCTGTGCTCTGCCCACCACGGGTATCGAAACCCGGTTTCTAGCGTTGTAAGTCCGCAGACATACCACTGTGCCACTGGGGGGCTTCAGCGATTTGATATTTGTTAAATCCTTCTTCATTTATATTTTACATTTTTTGAAAACAGTAAAACATAAACGGCTTTATCCGTAAAAGTTTCTGTTTCGCCCTAACTTAAAAAACAACAACTTTTGTCTGTACATCTAGATATAACGGAGTAATACGTACTTTGGTCCTAACTTTAAAAAAAACTTTTGTCTGTACATCTAGATATAACGGAGTAATACGTACTTTGGTCCTAACTTAAAAAGGCTGTGTTCTCTACATCTGGATATAACGGAGTAATACGTACTTTGGTCCTAACTTAAAAAGGCTGTGTTCTCTACATCTGGATACAACGGAGTAATACGTACTTTGGTCCTAACTTAAAAAGGCTGTGTTCTCTACATCTAGATACAACGGACTGATACGTACTTTGGTCCTAACTTAAAAAGGCTGTGTTCTCTACATCTAGATACAACGGACTGATACGTACTTTGGTCCTAACTAGAAAAGGCTGTGTTCTTTACATTTGGATACAGCGGAGTAATACGTAATTTAGTCCTAACTTAAAAAGGCTGTGTTCTCTATATCTAGATACAACGGAGTGATACGTACTTGGAAGCTAAAAGAAGTTCTTTCCTTCTGTACATTTCTGTTGGGTCACTATGATTTCGGCTTAAAAACTCTGCCACCTGGCGGGAAGGAAACTCAGTCTCGCACACATACCCGAAATCTCGTGCCAGATGAATTGCCTCGCCTGAAATTGTTCAAAAAACAAAACCGAAACTAAGTACCACATGGACAAAAGCGAAATACAACAATGTTAAAATCTCCAATTCAATTTTATCTGTGGTAAAATATCATACACTGTTCTCAACATGATTTTATTAATACAATCAAGTCTTTATAACAATATTTTCTCGTGTCTTGTTTTCATCGCGTTATTTTCAAGTTAAATAAACATATCAATAATAACTTCTGAAACACACATGACGTTTTTCTTTCTGGAACGGTCCGGCATGGGCAGGTGGTTAAGGACTCGTAATCTGAGGGTCGCGGGTTCGAATCCCCGTCTTACCAAACATGCTCGCCCTTTCAGCCGTGGGGGCGTTATAATGTGACGGTCAATCCCACTATTCGCTGGTAAAAGAGTAACCCAAGAGTTGGCGGTGGGAGGTGATGACTAGCTGCCTTCCCTCTAGTCTTACACTGCTAAATTAGGGACGGCTAGCGCAGATAGCCCTCGTGCAGCTTTGCGCGAAATTCAAAACCAAACAAACAATACTTGTAACTAAGCTATTTAAAAATTAGCCTCTGGCTTTAATTTCGTAGCTACTCCCATCGTTCTATAAAGATGACCCATTATGTAAAGATGACCCATTATATAAAGATGACCCATTGTGTCATTATATAAAGATGACCCATTGATGACCCAACAGGACAATCAAAAGAAATATGACGAAACAAACTGGTAAGACTGCAATCATGCTTGGAGAAACTAAACTTGCTTAAAACAAGCTCTCACTAAAAGTGCTAAGTCACAGTTGACCTTATATATCTTTCAACTGATGTAACAGAAGTTAATAATTCAATGTGTTGTTGTATCCACACCCATTCTTAGTAACAAAAAAATTAGCAAAGCATTATCGGTACCAAAATTTTTGTTTTACAGAAGAGTCACGTCGAAGGTGATATTTCGCGCCATGAAAAGATTTTGGAACCACTTCTCCAAGTCATTCATAATCATGGATGGAAGGTTGAATAGAAATTAATCAATTAATCACTGGGCTCAGGAGTAGGAGCTATTCGATGAAAGTACGTCACTATATATATAATGAATATTGTATCATCTGGTGGCAAAATTCGACTTGAAAAATGGTCGCCATCTTAATAAATGAGTCAAGTCTTTTGATAAGTTTTTTTTGTTTATTTTGAATTTCGCGCAAAGCTACGCGAGGGCTATTTGCGCTAGCCGTCCCTAATTTAGCACTGTAAGACTAGACGAAAGGCAGCTAGTCATACCCACCAACCGCAAACTCTTCGGCTACCCTTTTACCAACGAATAGTGGGATTGACCGTCACTATATAACGCCCCTATGTTTGGTGGGACGGGGATTCGAACCCGCGCACATCAGACTGCGAGTCGAGCGCCCTAACCACCTGACCATGTTAGGCCTTTTTGATAAGTAACACTTACATTTACGAGAACAAGTAAAGCAGGTGAGGCTTTCCAGTCATTCACTTCTCGACGCGCCATCTTAACAAGTCAGTTGTTTCTTTTTTTTTTTACTTTTATTTCCAGGAATCATAACCGCAAAATGTAAATAAATAATGATAAACACCTGCACGATGTACTTAATATACACGATCCATCTGCTTCTAATGAATATCTTTTGTTCTTTTTTTTATTGTTACGATTATTATTTTTTCCTTTAGCTTTCGGACAAACAGGAAACGGCGGGTTTCGGCGATGGCACGGAGTTTTAAACTGTAGACAGAGACGAAGAAAAACAAATTGCTTGCATAAGTCATTATTATTACAGATTCTGTTGTTGTTAAGACTAAAGGCTGACAGCACCTGCTTACTCATTTAATTCACCAGCCGAGCAGGTGTGAGTTTTTGGTTCGATTTCATCGCGTATGACGTCAGACAGGGTGATCATAATGTTTGTTAGGCTAACTTCTGTTCCACTTCTCTGTTTGCTTATTTCGGATATTCGCGCAAAACTTCACTATTCCTTATCTTCGCTAGTCGTCCCTTATTTTAGAACTGATAGACTAGATTGTTTTGTTGAGCTTCGCGCAAACCTTCACTATTCGTTGTCTGCCCTAGTTGTTCCTTATTTTAAAAACAATCTGGTCTATCAGTTCAAGGTTTGCGCGAAGCTCAACCACTATTCGTTATCTTCGCTAGTCGTCCCTTATTTTAGAACTGATAGACCAGATTGTTTTGTTGAGCTTCGCGCAAACCTTCACTATTCGTTATCTTCGCTAGTCGTCCCTTATTTTAGAACTGAAAGCTTAGATTGAATTTTACGCAAAGCTACTCGAGGGCAATCTGCGCTAGCCGTTCCTAATTTAGAAGTGATAGACTAGAAGGAAGGCAGTTAGTCAACACCACTCACCGCCAACTCTTTACCAATGAATAGTGGGCCGTCACGTTAAAACGTCCTCACAGCTCAAAGGGCGAGCATGTTCAGTGAATGTTTACGTGCATGCGACCCACAGGTTTCGAGTCAAGCGCCCCAACCGCTAGGTCATAACTAGTCGGATAGAGTAAAGGGAAGACAGCTAGTTAATAACACCAACCGCCAACTATTGAGCTACTCTAATTGAATTTGATCATCACTCATAAAGCACCCATGGCTTTAAGATACGAATTGTGATCTTGCTGCAACGAAACGCGAGCCATGGACCTCCTGCTTCACAATTCAGCACTAGTCACTTATAGGTCACTTACGAAAGATTGTTTGTTTGCTTGAAATTAAGCACAAACTACACAATGGGCTATTTGTGCTCTGCCCACCACGGGTATCGAAACCCGGTTTCTAGCTTTGTAAGTCCGCAGACATACGAAAGAACATGGACACTACACTATTTTTTGTCACGAGCTTAAGCTAAACAAAAGTGGACTCAAATTCACATGCCATAAAAAATTGTACTGAAGCTAAGATCAACTACACTCAAATTCACGTGACATAAAAAAATTGTATTGAAGCTAAGATCAACTTCATTCAAATTCACGTGCCATAAAAAATTGTACTGAAGCTAAGATCAACTTCACTCAAATTCACGTGCCATAAAAAATTGTATTGAAGCTAAGATCAACTACACTCAAATTCACGTGCCATAAAAAATTGTACTGAAGCTTAAGATCAACTACACTCAAATTCACGTGCCATAAAAAATTGTATTGAAGCTTAAGATCAACTACACTCAAATTCACGTGCCATAAAAAATTGTATTGAAGCTTAAGATCAACTACACTCAAATT